GATAGGGATGAAATTGTTTAGGGATGAAAGGTTTAAGAGTTTTAAAAGTTTAAGAGTTTTTAAGAGTTTTAGCCAAATGCTTTATAATATAGTATAGATATATATATATATATATATACACACACACACACACACACTAGAAGGATACTCGTGTAATGCATCGAAACACATTTTCATTTCAATATTTTGTTTTTTTTATCTATGTTGATATAATACGATTTTTTGTGGTTTTGAGAAAGCGATAATGTTTTTATTTTTAAATAGAATATAAATTTGAAAATATCACATAAAATTTGCAAAAAAAAAAAATTCCAATGTTAGTACAAATTAACTATTTAAAAGTTCATATTTGTATATTTTTTTAATTCAAGTTTTTTATTATAATTTAATTTAACGTAACGAAGTAACTTAATTTAAGTTTAATAATATATTTTTTTATAAAGATGATAATTAAGTATTCTGTTAGAACTCAATAATTATCCTAGTTATATTTTAGATTTTTTATATTTTAAAATGAGATGTTTAGCCTCTATTTGATTATGTTTATCCGCAATTAGTTACACTATTTCAAACATAGAGCTTTAATAATTTGTACTTATGCACAATTTACTTGTAATCTTGAATTTTAAGTAATATGTATCAATAAATAATATTTCATGCATAAAAAATGGTTTTTAAGAGTTTCTGTCAAATGCTTTATAATATAGTGTATATATATATATATATATATATATATATATATAGTCAAATGTTATTTTGAGAAGTGATAAATATTTGAGAAGTGATCTTAACCCTTCATATGATCAAGATCGTATTTGATTAGTCAATAATTGCGGTTTTGACTAGTGAAAAATTATGTCTATGCAAAAAATAGAGAGGGTAATATCGTAACTTTTATAAATAGGCGACAAACATGTTCAAATATGAACTATATGCTCATATGTGAACTCATGTAATTCATATATGAACTATTTTAACTAATTTATATATGAACACGTGTGATTCATATATGAACTAATTAACCACTTCAAATATGAACACTTATGATTTACATATGAACTAATTAATTGATTCACATATAAACCTGTATGATTCACATATGAACTAATTAACTCATTCATATATGTACTCGTGGGTTCATATATGAATCAGTTAAATAGTTCACATGTGAACTAATTATCTATTTAACATGTGAACTAATTAATGGGTTCACATAAGAACATTGTGAGTTCATATATGAATCAGTTAAATAATTCACATGTAAACTAATTAATGGGTTCACATAAGAACATATACTTCATATGTTTATCACAGAGGTTCACATATGAACCCATGCCGTCTATTTGTAAAAGTTGTGAAACTACCATTTTATTTTCCGCATATCGATACGAGGAATTATCCGGTACTTCACATTCAAAGCCATAAATTTGACCAGATGAAAGGCAAACATTACTTTTCTATTTTTCAAATATTTACCACTTATTAAATGAACATTTTCTTATATATATATATATATATATATATATATATATATATCAAATAATAACTTTGTAATTTGTGATAACCGCGAGATACAATGTAAGTCACTCGTTTGAAATAATTAGGGATATTTTTTAAATTAATAATGAAGAGTAAATTAGTAATTTTGCATATAATTGAATTTAAGGATATTTTTAAAATAATTAAGGATATTTTTAAATTAAACTACCAACATCTGTTATTTATCATATAATGTTCGTTGGTGAACTAATAAGCCGTTCATAAGTGAACAAATAAAATGTGATTGATTTGGGTTTCAAAACGACAGAGAGATTCTTGAAAACTGAAATCGATGCATAATAAAGTTCCTGATATTTTCTAATTTTACCTTGTTCACTATTGTTCATTATGACATAGCACGCGTTCATTTTACTAGTATTACAAGATGCCACTGATGTTTAGTCCGTATATTGGATAAATTAAAGGTCATGATTTGTTCATAAATATATACATAAAGAGTAAGGGAGAGAGTTTAAAATACAAATCACACCATTTATTAGGTTTGTTCATCGGTTGACATCCATTGGGTGTGAGGGGAACCGAACCGATCAAATCATCCATTGGATGTTGGATTTTGCCAACCAATCCGATCTGATTAACATTGGATAATCAATCCATTCCAATCAAATGAATGATTGGATCGGTTCGGTTACATCTATTAGATACTTTTATTGGATATCCAATTGATGATCCGTTGGGATTGGATCCATTCAATGTGTTAATTCGATCCAATTCTCCAACAATGATACAAATTGATTAATCACTTTTAATATGTGTTAAAACCAACACAATAGAAGTTAAAAATTCAAAGTCTCACATAAAACAAATTTCGATTTAAACAATTTAAAAATAAATTAATTGGATGGACAACTGGATGGTTATCGGATGATTAATTGGATGGGTAATTAGATGTTGATCGGTTCGGTTTTAGACTGTCATCCAAGAACTGACCAATCCAAATTGGATGTTGAAATTTTCAATCCGATCTGATCCGATCCAATTACAATTGGATATCCAACTGTGGTCGGTCAGTTCTAATTGGATCGGTCGGTTCCAATTGAATCGATTAATTTTCTGCACACCCTTACCATCCATACAAACCAATCTCAAACGACCAACTACTCTAATGAATATCTGATTCCATAAATTCTCGGTTATTTCCTAATATGAATTGTTGCTCATAGTTAATGAACTGTAATGATATTTCATAAATATTCAAATCATAATAAATGAACCGTAATCATTTTCATAAATATCTCAATAGAAAAACCAAGTGAACCAAAATTGAAGTTTACTCTCGTAAAATACTCCCTCTATCCCAAATTAATTATCCATATTTCTATTTTATTTTGTTTCAAATTGAATATATATTTTCAAAAATAATTTTCATTTTCTCAATCTACTTTTAATGATGAGATGAAGAAACTCTCTTTTATCGGTAAGAATATCATTTAATTATTTAAAAAAATGTAATAATTATCTATACTTAAAATTATGTGAGGTTTTATCGTAGACATTTATTTTGGAATGAAAAAAAGTATCCATATATGTTTTATCTAAATACCAGAATGATACTCGCGCAATGCAGCAAAATAAACTTATTTTTCAGTGTTTCGTTTTGTTCTGTCTCCGTCGATGTTATAATACGATTTTATGTGGTATTGAAAAAACGATAATATTTTTATCTTTTGAATAAAATATGAATTTGCATGTTTCATAAAATTTTGAAAAAAAAAATGTATTGATTTGTATCAAATTAAATATTTAAAATTCTTGTTTTTTGTATAATTTTTTTTAATTTAACTTTTTTTATTATAATTTAATTTAGA